GAATATGTATTTAATAGATTATTTAATGTTCTAATATAAAAGAGTCCAATGTGTGATGTTTAACTTGGACATTAAGTTACCTTAGAACATGGGGAATGGTAGTATGATTAGTACTCTAAGTCTCCTCCTCCTATATATACTACATACCCCTCTCTCCCATCTCATATGAAATAAAGTTCTCAACATCAAGGGCTTTGTGAAAGGACGAGAGACGAGGGAGAGAGAAAGCAACACACGAACGCGGGAGAGGGGAAGCAACGCACGATCGGCCAGACATACAAGAAGAACAGGGAAGGACTATAATGGATTCTTGTAAGTCTCTATGTGCAATTTAATTTATGCAAAAGATCCATGTTCTATGAATTGATAGAATTACATGCTTATGGTTTATTCAATTCCGCATAATTGTTATGGATATACCCGTTAAATTCTTACACATATATCCAAAATATAATGAGTAGAGGCTAATAAAATTTCATTCATTGAGAAATGGCGGTGGTGAATGAAGATTGTTGGTGTAATAGCCCGTGCGCATGAGAGAGCTGTCTCATTAGATCCATAACCCTTGCTCTGTATTCTCTGGCCTGATTCACCGCCTCCGCCTCCGCCTCGCCCAGCTGGGAGCTCAGCCGTTCCTCAGCCTCCTCCGCCACCGCCACCCGCCGCCATACCTTCCGGAGCTCCTCCTTCATCCGATCCTCTCTCTCCATACCCATCTTCACCTCCCTCTCCAACTCCTTATTCCTCCGCCGGAGAGCATCCTCCGTCCCGTCACTCGTGGCCATCGCAAACAGTTTGTTAAGCAAGCCAAGCCTAGGTTTTATTTACGATTTTCCTTTTATCGAGTTTCTTAATTAAGGTCGAAAACCTTTGGGATTATATGCGGAAATTGGTAAACCGATTTGCGTCCAGGTTCAACGAATCTGATATTGCCTCAATATTCTAGACAGTTGCGTGGGCGTTGAAAATTTGAAATTTGAAGTCGGGGTTGAAATGGTCGTGAAGACGTGTTACCGACTTGACACGCTGCTAAGTTTGTGCGATTGGGTATTATGGTTAGCGTCGTCATTGCGTCTTACTCTTATTTATTTATACTACTACTCCAAGCATATCAAATTGTTCATAAAATACATGGAAACTTCCATAAAAATCCTAAAGCAATTTTAATGTTCTTCCTCAATCGGCAATCCCTACATTAATTTTTTTTCCTCTACACTTGTCCGTACCTCTATATTCATCTTCCACTTTAACTCGTTTTTCTTAATATAAATCAAAAATGAAAGAAAAATGATACATAGTGAATCTAGTGTACAGCTAGGTTGACAACACAAGTGGAAACATCCACTTATGTATTTTTTTTTATTTTTATATTTATGAATAATTTTTACTTGTGTTGTCAACCTATTGTACAACGTGACATTTCTCAAAATAAAAACACAAATAACATTACTCATTACCAACCTAACTTTACATATTATTTTATTAATAATCTTTCTTTCCACTACAATCTTTGTTAATTTTTTATTATTTTTTTTCTCTCTTTTCATATATTTTTTTACTATTTTTTTTATCATCTTTTATTATTTATCTCTTTTTTTTTTCCAAAACGATAGATGTATTATATAAAAACGCACAAATGTGCAAATGAGCAGTCACCGGCTAAATACAAGCAGCCAATAGCTGAATAAAAATGGGAGGACAGTCAACAAACCGCCTAGAGCCGACCCCAACAGGGTAATGCTCGGGACCACAACAAAACTAGAACAAAACACAAAGACGACCCCAACAGGGTAATCCTTTGGAACACTAAAAACTAGAACAAAACACACAACACAAAGACGACCCCAACATGGTAATGCCAAAGTGTGAGATCCCAACAAGATAATAAGGTCACACTTAGGCTAATCGAGGACAACGGCCCAAACCTAAAACACAAGAACAAACACATACAATGACATTGAAAAAACAAAACTAAACAACAAAAAAACTAAACTAAAACATATAATCATTCCCCGACAACCGAACAGGCCCGAACAACATGGAACAATCGACACAAGAATGAGTCTCGGCCCGAGAAACCACTACCGAAACTGCGCAACCGCCTATACAATAGCCGAAACCGAAACCAGAACCAATCTCAGAATCGACCCATGTAATATCCCATTCAGTTATTAGTAAAATGTATCAATTTATTTCTAAGATGGAGCTATTTTGAGTTAAAATGTTCAAAATTTTAAGCTTTTCAAGTCACACGAGTCGTGTGGCAAGCCACACGAGTCGTGTGGCTCAATGTACTGTTCAAATCTGCTCTCGGCATAGTCACACGACCCGTCACGCGAGTCATGTGAGTTCACACGACCCGTGTGACACGTCACACGACCCGTGTGACCGACAAAAATTTCAGATTTTATGATTCGAGTTTGGTGCCAACTATAGTTCATTTTAAGTATTTATTTTAAGTATGGATGATTTCTACAAGTTAGAAATTGATATGTTTATGATGATTAAGTTTTATAAGTTTTAATTATTTATTTTGTTGATTTCTTCACTCCATTATATTATATTCAAAGTTTTTGCCTATAAATAGTGGGCTTAAAATCTGAATTTTTACACCAAGAAATATTTCAAAGTTACATAAGTTCATTTGTGAGAGTGAGTGGTGGAATTCTAGTAAAGTGAAGATTTTTGGAGTGAAGAATCAAAGTTTTCAAGTTCAAGTTCTAGCAAGAAGAAGGTAATTACTTATCTTAAATTCATGTTTTAGATGAGATAAGTAGTTATTAGTATGTATTTTAATGAATTTGAAATTGAGATTATAATTGATTTGATGAATTCAATGAGTTTAAGTTGTTATAAGATCAATTATAAAGTATATGTGTTCATTGATATTAGATTATCCAATAAAGTATGATTTGGATAAGTAATTCTTATGTAAATGAGGAGTACATAAGAAAAATAATTGAGTTATTTGGCATGTTATAACTTGAGATAAAGATTTTGAAGTTAGTATGCAAGTTGAATTTCATGATATTAAGTTGAGAAATGAATGTGTTATTATGATTAGATGGCATATAAGATGTATTTCATGTTAAAGTTTTTAAGAGTAATTGATATGGAATTCTCATATTATTGATGATGAGTAAAGTGACCAAGTTTTAGTGTAATACGTTGAGAATACAATTTTAATATAAATTGTTTCAAGTCTTACATATTAATGTCATGATTTGATGTTATGATTTGTATGTATGAGAATTTAGTTATAATTTTCATTACCAAGCAAGTTTAAGACACGTTTAGTTGTTTATGAATCATGTAATTAATGTTGATAAAAATATGTTTGAGTTTATGTATGTGAATTTAGTCATTTTACCTTACAAGTTATTTTAGTAAAATTTGAGAATAATTCAATGTCTTAGATTTTAAAGACATGATTTATATGAGTTAATTTGATGGCCTTGAGTAAAAGTTTGAGAAGTTAAGTTGTTCGATGCATTAATGTTCATTTGAACTATAACAGGCCTATTTAACCTCTTTAAGATTCGAATAAGTTATCAATTAGATTTAAGAATCTCAGCATCCTATTGAGAATACTCCCAGCATAGTACTTAGTATATTTGTCTATATTTTTATGTAGTTGCAGATACAGCTACCAGTACAACACTTACGATTTTCAAATGTTTGCAAGAAGAAAAGGTGGAGACACAACCTAGGTATTACATTGAGAATAGCTATTATCATGTCAAAGGTATGTATATGAGTTATCCACTTTGGGTGGAGGCGCAGTAGCCTTAATATGCCATCCCGAGTTCTGGTGGCGGCGCATTAGCCTTAATATGCCATCAGAGTGTGCACACGGTTAAGGGACCAAGTGTCCAAAAGTTTAAGTTCAAGTTACCGGTCCAAGTGTCCGGGAGATCAAGTCTAAGTTTATATATACCTGCGATCATGATATTGATATTATTATTACTGTTTACTTTAGTATGGGTTTTTTACGGAGTACAGTGGATTAGTACTCACGCCCCACTATTATCATTTTCAGGTAACAGGGTCATTGCGGAGGTGTGAGATCGGCTATGGTGGTGTGGATTGATGATTTGGTTCATTTGTTATATTGTGGACTTTTAATAAGGTTTCGGTTTGTATTATACCATGCTTGTAAGATTTCCGCTACGTCTTTCAGATATTGAACATGTGTGACAGTATTTTCAGATTTAAAAGATTTATCGAGTTCAATTTTCATACATGTTCGATAATTAAAATCTATTTATTTGTTAGACTAAGTTTTGGAGAAAACAGATTTTAAAGAAGATAAGTTTTTAGTAGCATCCCGAGCTAAGTTAAACAGATTTCGAAAAATTTATAAGCACTTTCGAAGAAAAAGTTGCAAAAAATGTACTCTGATAAGCGGGGTGTTACAGTTGGTACAAAGCTAAATTCTAATTGCTCTGTATACTAAAAGTTTAAGTTCTAGAAAGGAAGTTTCAGAAAAAGATTTGTTTAGGAAAAGCCGACCACACCACACTCACACCTCGATTCCGGATTCGTCGGTTCCCCTGTGGATCCGGAAACCGGAAGGTCTCTGTACCAAAAAAAAAGTTTTTAAAAAAGCTTGTTTTTTTTAAAATATATGCAAATTACTAAGTCTATGCTCAATAGGATTCAGATATCCGAACCTTAGAAATCAGAATAAATGCCTAGATCGGTATCAAGAATTCATAGCAGTATCAGATATGTCCTCATATCAGAAATCAGAACTATGTTCAAGATTATAGTTGAACTTAGTTTATCGAGAAAATTATTGAATTGTTAAGAATTGTGCTTTTCCAAGAATTCAGTATTCTTTTTCAGTAATTTCAAGTTCAACTCATGTCCAGATTAAGTATATAGATGGCACGCTGTAAAGTTTTACATGAGATATTCATAGTTGCCCAGTTTCGCGACAAATTTTTTAAAGTTCACAAGATCAAGAAAGTTATCTGAATATTTTAAAGTTAAGCCATTAGATTAAAGTTAAATTCGGACTCTAAAAGTTGACCTATTTTGAGTATATACATAAAAGTAACGATTTTCGGTGTATAAGAGCATAAGTCTGGGTAGATCATGGAGGTTTGTAATAAGAACCATAATTCCGGATATACCATGGAGGCTTGAAACTGAACCATAAGAGTAATGTTTAAGAAAGTAGTCAATCTTTAGAGTCAGAAATGAAGGTATCTTATCAGTTAAATACCGAAAATTTTTAGTTTGCAATGTTCAGAAACAAAGTTATCAGTACTTGTATGATCAGTCTTATATAGTACGTTTCAGAAGTTAATAAGCATGAGTTTAAAAGTATCAGTATATAGAGCCAAGTATTTTCATTATTATCATGGCGACTTGAAATAAGAGTCACAATGTCGGGTAATTACCAGATAAAGAACAATGTTCATGAATTTTGAATAATTGCTTTTAATAGCTAATTAGCTGGGTACATTATGGAGACTTGAAATAAGAGTCATTAATCCGAGTTTACCTAGAACTTGGACAGACATCAGTCAGCTCATAAGTTTCACATTCCAACATTGAGAAGATCAGTTAAATCTCTCAAAAGAGTTTTTAAAAGTAAAGTATAAGTCATCTGGATATGTGATAATAGTTTGTTTAATAAGACAAAGACGATTAAGTTTCCATTTATATTCGTCAATATCATAAAGGATTATTCAAGCACACTGTTGAGGATTTCATTACTACAAAAGAAGCTATTACAGATTCATCAGAAATAGCAAAGCAGATGCATGATAAGCAG